GGCTGAGAGGCCCCCAACCCCTGCCCACTAGCAGCACTGCAAAACCAGCAATGGCCAGAGTTCAGGGGTGCTGAGACCAAGGAGGGCCCCCACATAGCTGGGGTGGCGGCAGGGGGCGTTTGGCTTAGGCAATGCTTAAATGAAGCAGGAAGAACTGAGGCAGGCAGAGAGGGAGGGGGTGGAGGGCACGACCACAGTGGGGTGTAGACACCCATTAAACAGAAGGAAGCAGCTCCCAGCAATGACCTGGGGTGTTCAGCAAGGAGCAGTGTAGCCTCACTGAGCGGCTGATGCCCGAAGGCCTGGTCTGTCCCCACCTCATGGATTCATCACCTGCTCCCTGGGCTGGTAAAGAGGGGGATCATCATTCTTCATAAATAAGGGCAGGACGTGGGCCCACCCACTGTAAAGGCGAGAGGCAGCAGGCGGCTCCCGGGGGCCCCTCCAGGGAAGGTGGCTGCTGTATGAATGCCCATTCCTGCTCACTGGTGCCACCCAGCGGCACAGGCGGAGAATGGAGCTGAGAGGGTCCTGACCTGAGGAGGCCAGGCGAGGCCCATGACTGTTCTCACCACCTGGGATGCTGATACGGCTTTGTAGTCAGGCAAGTCCCTTGACCTTGACCGGAAGCAGGTCCCCTCATGACCTCCATGTCCTCAGTGGTACAGGGAGTGGGGACGCCCCCCTTCTGGGCTCCTGTAGGATGACCTGTGACTGTAGGGCAAAGCCCGCTCCATAAAGCTCGCTCCAGTTCACCTCTTGCGGGGTGTGGGTGGGCACCCCAAGGCCTATTTTACTGCCAGTCTGTGGCTCTCCTGTTCCTCAGTGCCGTGGCCTCGGGGCAGTCTCTCGGCCACTCAGGGGCCCTTGTTGCATCTGTCATCCCTGCTTGGCAAGGCCTTGGGGACCAGTGAGCACCGGCAGGGACAAGCCCCAGGAGCCAGCCCAGTGAGCGCTGGGCTTAGAGCGCAGTGGTGGCCAGAAGGGAGGTCTGCCCACTGCGGTTTCCTCCGGACCCAGTGTCAATGCAGAGGCTCTGCGGCCTCCCCGCAGCCTCGCTCTGGGAGCCGGCCGTGTGGCCGCTGGGTTCCTTGGCCCTCTGATGGGCCACATGGTCACGGGACACCACTGCTGCTCCCGGAAATCTGTCTGGTTACAGTTTCTCCTGTTCTGGCCCCTCTTGAGGAATCACTGACCAGCCTGGAGTCCAAGTCGAGGGCTGCCCAGTCCAGTACGGGGCTTCCTCAGAGGCCATGGGAGCACCGATCCCTTAGTGGGAACATAGTGACAAGTCACTGACAAGTGACGTCAGTGGAATTTTCTGTTTTACAGCCCATTTCCTTCCTCCTCATAACTCCTCTTAAAGAACTGGTTCCATGACCTTGGGAAGGGGTTTGTACTAGAGCTGTACTAGGAAGGCTGGAGGCAGCCCGTCTGTGGTTGCCATTCAGCGAGAGCGGCTTGTTCAAGGCCCTCGAGGGGCAAGGTCGAAGCCTCCCTCTCTCCATGCGGTCTCCTGGGCAGTGTCCCTGGTGACCAAGGGCAGTAACTGGAGCATGGCCAGCAGGCTGGCCACAGACCACAGGGCTGGGCCTCGCGGACCGAGCAGGCTGTGCAGATCCTGACCACACAATCCCCCCTGCCCGCCTGAGGGGTGTCCCCAGGTCCCGGCGCCTGGGGTGGAACTGGAAATCCTCTCTCCTCCGCGGAGCCTCCTGAGACTCATGGTCTCGGAAGGCAGAGCGGGCTGGGCAGCCTTGGTTCTTGGTTGGCACGGCTCTTGGCCTGAGGGTGCAGCTGCCAGCAGACGGGGTGAGGCCCTGCCCTGGCGGCTCCTGGGGCTTGTCTCTAGGAGCATGAAAGTCAGGGACAGTGGCAAGCGTCACCCAGCCTGGGGTGGCCAGAATGGCCCTGTGTCCTGGGAGAAGGACGGGGCCTTGAGGACCTTTTTTGTCTGGTATGTGGTGGCTTTCAAAATTACTTTTTCATGGAATATGGGGTGTTGTGACTAAAAAATTGGGGCACATTTTTCTTGTATGCATGATGAGGTGGACACCAAGGTGCGGGGACCAGGGGCTGGCTCTCCTCTGCTCTGTGATAGATGTAGTGATGGACCCGCCTCAGTCTAGACCAGTGGTTCTCAACCTGTGGGTCGCGACCCCTTTAGCGGTCGAACGACCCTTTCACAGGAGTCGCCTAAGACCATCCTGCATATCAGATATTTACATTATGATTCATAACAGTAGCAACATTACAGTTATGAAGTAGCAACGAAAATAATTTTATGGTTGAGTCACAACATGAGGAACTGTATTTAAGGGCCAGAAGGTTGAGAACCACTGGTAGACCCATGAAGACCGTGCCCTTCCCCGTCTGCAGGAGGTTTGCCAGAAGCAGCAGCAGGTGTTCGGGCGGTTCGGTACATCAGGGCACTGCTCGACAGAACAGCTGATGTTGGAACCGATCAGGAAAATGGGGCCATGCCGATTCGTGCACATTTGCTCAACACACAGGAGGTGCCGCGCCCATGCTGGGCACGGAGATAAAACCAGGGCGCCCGCCATGTCCTTGGGCAGCGAGTGGCCTAGGAGTCAGGCTGAGAAATGCCCAGTGCCAGGAGGGCTGGGGGCTCTGTGACTGACTGTGGGGACCCGTGAGCAGGAAGGCATGTCCGGCTGGCTGTGTGTGATGGCTGCGGAAGCTGTACCAGGACGTCATGCACACCTCCCATTCCCCTCCATCCACACGTGCTGGGTCAATGTTTCCAAATCAAAACCCTGTTCCTGGAGAGGGGACAGGCCACACAGGTGGGCAAACTTAACGCACTGAAGGAGACTAGCGCCACCTGCTGGCCAGGCCCACCGGGCCCTTTCTAAAGCAGCTGCGTCTGCATGCAAGTGTGTGTGTATGTGTGTGCATGTGTGTGCAAGTGTGTGTATGTGTGTGCATGTGTGTGTGTGCAAGTGTGTGTGTGAGAGAGAAAGAGAGAGAGAGGATGTAAAGTCTTTGAAGTGGGACAGGCTGACTTGGCTCAGCCACTGACTGCGGCCTGGAGTCATGCACTCGCGGAGCTTGTCTCCCGTCAGTGGAGTGAGGAGAAGGATGTGAAGGGAAGTGAGCTGGTGGGATGGGCAGCGTGAAGCCACACCGCCCAGGTCAGGTCACCTGGAGCGCTCCCATCGGCCTGGGCTTGGCTGTCTCTGCGGCTGGGCTGTCTCGGGCCCAGGCCACCTCTTCTCCTACTTCTCCCTCTGCTCCGGGTTCCCTCCCAGGCATGGCTCGCTCTTCAGTGTGCCCGTTCCTCACATACCTGTAGCGCCATGGCCCACCCCAGGGCCGGCCTTTCTAAAACTCTGGCTGGTCAGGTGAGAGGGTGCCATCAGTCCTGCTAGAGAGGCTGAGGTAGGCGGTAAAGGAGACCACGCTCACTCTCCACGTGAGTGTGAAATAAGCCCAAGTAACCCAGAACGAAGATGAAAACTCACCAAGCTGGTGGGGGACGTGATGGAAGACGAGGGTGGTAGATGCTCCAACTGGAGAATTTAAACAGTCCACGTGGCAGGACTTCCTGGGCAGGTCGCCAAGGCCTAGGGGCTCCACCTCCACTCTGGTTCCTAAGGCAGCTGTCTCCACAGTATGATGGGCCTGAATGCAGGTAGCCCCTGTCCCCATCCTGTCACAGGAAGTGAGAACCTGTCCCCATCCTGTCACAGGAAGTGAGAACCTGCCCCTATCGTCACAGGAAGATTTAACCTGTTCCCATCCTGTCACAGGAAGCTTTAACCTGTCCCCATCCTGTCACAGGAAGCTTTAACCTGTCCATCCTGTCACAGGAAGTGAGAACCTGTCCCCATCCTGTCACAGGAAGCTTTAACCTGTCCCCATCCTGTCACAGGAAGCTTTAACCTGTCCCCATCCTGTCACAGGAAGCTTTAACCTGTCCCCATCCTGTCACAGGAAGCTTTAACCTATCTCCATCCAGTCACAGGAAATGAGAATCTGTCCCCATCCTGTCACAGGAAGTCAGAACCTGTCCCTATCCTGTCACAGGAAGCTTTAACCTGTCCCCATCCTGTCACAGGAAGCTTTAACCTATTCCCATCCTGTCACAGGAAGTGAGAACCTGTCCCCATCCTG